CCCCAAACCCCCAAAACCCCAAAACCCCATTTGTCAAAAAAGCAAGTATTATAAAGATTTATAAATATAAAATAATGCCGAATAGCAATAGTAGTAGTCGCAGTGCAAAGCAAGGTCGCATCCAAAAGAAAATATCCTTTGAGCTTAATATCAAGAGTGCCCGAATCACCATCCCTGATTAAACCCCTGTCACCATCTATTGGATTAGAGGTATTAACAGCATTCATTCGGCAACTATTAAATAAACAAATTACTATAGGAGGCAAAAAGATTGACACAAGAACAAAGCAAGTCATGAACAATAAAGCCACTTTCAATGAGAGATTCGCAATGAAAACAATTCTAGACTTTGATGTCTTCAATGATGAGTTCGATCCTAAGCCTGTAAGAATATATTTGCATTTTTCATAACCCTGTAGTCTATATTGCAATTATGTAAAGGTGATCCATAGTAACAGACGCCTGAGTATGTTGGAGAAGCAGACTTTGATCTGGCCAAATATGGGAAATCGGTGTCGATCACTGAGAGATTATAGATGAGAGGGCATGTAACAGATGACTGCTTCATTGAAATCATGGTCAAAACTAAGAATCTTGATGCCCCTTAGACACCAGGCAATTTAACAAACACTGCAATGATTGATAACAGATTCTCGTAATAGTATGTTTCATTTATGAAGAACTTATTTTGTAAACTTTTTTGTATAGATTGATGACTACGAGAAACAGTTCTACAGAAAACACCTTCTTTTAAAGAAGGAATTCTGTTAAAAGCGAAGTAGACAGTGACTATTAAGCTTTCAAAGAAGAGTTTGAATAAAAAGAATAGGAGTATAGAAATAGGATACATACATTGAAAAAGGAATTATCAATAGCCAAGGAAAGTCTGCAAAAGCACAGCTCAGATAATCATCAATCAAGAGATATGAATAGTGCTAGAGAGACTTTATACTAATTCCTTGATGATGATCAAAGGAAGTAAGTAAATCTAAAGGATATCAAGATCGCGCTGCTTAAGGAACATATTGACAGAGCTAAGGCTAAATAACTTGAGTTGCTCAAAGGACCTATGAAAAGGGTGAATAGAGAATGTGATTTGATATTAAATGAACTGGTCAAATGTAAAGTAGCTTATGATTAGTGTTAGAGCCACAATGAAGCCAAATTAAGAAAGTTGAATAGGTTCTTTAGTATTGAGCAATTTGAAGAGATAGGCGGGGATTTAATGAGAAGAGATTTAAGTATGGTTGATTCTTGTATACTGGTAAAGGATAAAAAAAGAACAGGCCGAGTTGAGTCTAATTTATTAATGATCACATAAACAGCTGCAAAGAAAATACTTGACAAGAAAAATCCAATCAGTGATATAAATGATCACATCATATCCTTAGAAAAATAAAAAGATCTTTACCTCAATAAAGACAAGTTAGATTTGAAACTATAAAGAGCAATCCGAGCTTAATCAGTAAAACCGAATGGGCTTGACAATAGGTTATGAGGATGATAAATGGGGTCAAATCCAGGTAACTATATTAACCCTTAAGTCATCGAATCGAGACATCTGAATTAACTAATATCAAGAACAATCATAAATATTAAAGATATTTATTCGTTGCGGGTAGCAACAGTTTTGCATCTTTTCTTTATAAATAATGATTCCCGTTCATATCAGATTCTTAATATATTCTGGTTAAACTCAATGATTAATATGGATTTGGGGTTTTGGGGTTTTGGGGTTTTGGGG